CTGGCCTTTCAGAAGTTTTACGTTAGTTGTTACTTAAGGGGTATTCTTCTTCGACTTCGTTTTGACGTATCCTTTAACCTTCTTTGGCCTAAAACATGTGTCCGTGACTTTTATACCGAGAGTCCAGTTAATATGAGCACCAGATTATATGGACACTTGTGCATTTCCATCTAGTGTCCACTGTAAAGTGATACTTACAGAAAGGGGTTACTCTTGGGAATGTGTAACACCGCGGTTTTCACCCGCGGGAACTCCCATGTGAGAAGCTCAGGGATGCTTGTCGTCTCGCACAGGGGTGTAAACCACGTATGCTGGTCTTGCTTAGGTTGTTGAGGACACAGCACCGCTATTTTCAGCCGCCAAAGTATCTTCAAAGGTTGCTCTCAGAGAAATAATTGGAGTTTTACGACAGTGCTTTTAGAATCTGTTTATAGAAGAGAGCATTCGATGACAATGTTTGTAGACGGTTTTTAATTTAGTGTGGTAAAACAAAAACAAAACCAATTACTTACCAAATAGACTAATTAGCCAATCTCAAACCGAAGTAAGACGAACACGAAAACTTGCATCGTTGTAACCACTACTTGCCTGTCCTCTTGAAAGTGGTTTCTTTTATAGGAAAATAAAGCTTGAGCCACGCTTGAATTGATCTCCAGCGGTTTATTTCAAATTTTCCTTTTCACATGGGAGTCGTCTCCTGTTGCTTTGTCTACTGGACTCTCCTTAGTTAGGTCGGTGTGATATTTACACCTCTGACTTGAAGTCAAAGAGAGTAAAGGATTAACATGACTTTTTTCCCTTTCATCGTTAGGTGTTCTTTATGACGAGGCTTTGTACGACACTGTCATAGATCTGGGAACTAGCGGCAATTCTACCGGCTAATCATAAAGTCATCTGCGCAGCGAAATTCGTGTAAATAACAGAGTAAATAGCACACTAAGGAAGGGGAAGGGTAGAATTTTGTTCCAATGCTTGTCCTAGACCTTTCAGTTAATTAAAGTTAACGATTCAAGTTTTGAGACTCTAGCATTAGCAATGACTTAACATGAAGGCAATTTATAACCATACCGGCAACGCTAAGTAGGGAAATGATTACAAAGAGGTATTGTCCTCAACCTAAAACAAACTTTCCAACTGCCCAACGACATGGGCAAACTTAATTTCGTGCGAAGTTAAGTTCAATATCGATTCGCGTGTATTTTTATTAATCGTTTTTAGATGTATTTTTTGAGAACACTAAGTATATCTGAGTGGTATGTGCTGAAGTTATGCCAAATCGACTCTTTCACCTCTAAAACAACATTTATTTGGTCCTGTCATGCAATCTTTCCTATCTTATGAGGACAATGCGCGATGAGGGATAAGATCTGCATAGAGCGTAAACGTGCTATTGTTTATGTAACCTGGTAAATGGTGGTTTACGTCCCTGTACTCTGAGCTGAAGCTAAGCACCATTTCTCTGAGGGCTTTTCTGAAGCACGTTCCCATTTAAAGTAGAAATTCAAGGTTTGTTAAGAGTGAATACGAATTTTATTTGAAATAAGATTATTTAAGGGTAATCTTTGTAAATAGAAAGTGTACACAACTAGAAAAGAAGAACCCTTGTTATACACGGGGTAATGACTCCTTCCCTCGGAAGGTTACTTGGCAAAAGGTTTTCCTTTTTTTGCTCACACGGGCTTGAGACTGAAGGAAATTAGATCAATAAATCTATTTACATGTTATAGTTGGATTAAAAACTCCTGGGAAACCAGCTTCTCTTAAAACAACAACAACAACAACACAAGATGATATTTTTCAACTGTATATGTTTATCTAAATCATTGTTGATTAACTTATTTTTTCTTATGAAAAGTTAAAACTAGTCAACATTTTATCAATGTACTATGATAGTTTTAAAAAAGTGTCTTGGAGAATAACGTTTAATGAAGAGAACTTGTTATAAAATGAAACATTGCTTATTTCTGGTTAATAATTAAAGGTTGGAATAAAACTTGCTTTATTGTATATTACTTTGTTTAATTCTTGTGTAATCAGCATTGTACTGTATTGGCGTATCTGAGTCTTAATTCCTCAACAAATCCTTTGAAATTAGATCATTTGTCAAGTGCCCAGGGGGGTGCAATTCGCATCCATGAGATCATGTAGAAACCCGTCACCAACCTTGCTAAACTGAGCTATGCATAACGTGAAAGTGTTCCATTCACCCGTCCTCCATCTACCCTCCCACCCATCCATCCATACTCCCTCCCACCCACCCATCTATCTATCCTCCCTCCATTAGATAGATAACTAAACCATCGACCCACACACTCGTACATTCTCCCTGCCATCCATCCTCCCTCCCTACTATCCACCCACCCATCCTCCCTCCCATTCACCCATCCATCCTCCCTCC